AATAAATAAATAAGTAAACTGAATAGATATTGATGGGCATGGCAAATGTCTGTATGTCATGCCAAATCTTGCAGAGCTTAACTCTAAACATTTTGTTGAAGTTTATGCAAGTCTAGATTGAGTCTTGAAAATCGGACCGTTTGGAATGTGAATACCTTAATCACTGTCAAAAAGTTAGTGTTCTATCATTTAAAAAGGAGTCAGTTTTACTGTGGGGAAAGACGACACACATCCTGGAGTGACAGCTACAAAAACCTGCATCTTAAATAATACTGATCAAATTATAAACCAAACTAATTGCTTGTGAAGATAAGGAAAATTCAAACATCTGAAGAAAAATCTTGTGACAGAAAAAGGATGCTGATGAGAAGATTCACTTAGAATGATCATTTAAGGAGAATAAAAAGAAAGAAAAAATAAATAAAAATAAAAATGTTTTTATTCTGTAACCTAAAAAATAGTTGACATCCTCATAGAGGTAACTTGAATTTTTCAGATAAATTATTCTTATTCATACCCACTTTTAGAAGAGAAAAAAAAAAAAAAATTAAATATTCTATTTCATTTTTGTGGGGGAAAAAATGAAAAAAACCTCTAAAGCGTCCAGATGTCCTTGTGGCACCTTAGCCGCTAGTAGGCTACTTTTATATGCTTTCTAGTATTTTACTAAGTTGTTAACCAATGATCCAGCAACTTGATATGAATCCCTGGGAATATTCAGATATCTTTATATTAAATAAACATAGAAATTTCCATCAGATCTGAATATTGATCTTGTGGTTGAAAGAGGAAAAACAACATTCTGGTTGGTCTCATCCTGTGTTGCTGCAGTGCTGCTGGGAGAGGGGCCAATCAGAAGACAGCCTGTGCTGGTGTTCCTTTGGGAAGGATGGGGTGGGAGTGAGCATGGATGAATGTTGGGCACAGCAGGAGGTTGGGGTTTACCTGGACTGGATCTGATGCATCAATTCTTGGTGGACAGCATCCCACCAGCTTCAGATCCTCACCTGGGCCTGGTTTTCCCAGGAATTACTTGGAAAAGAGCTGCCGAGCCCCTCTCCATGGGGAAGGGGTAAGCTTTGCCTTCCTTAGGGCCTGGATCATGAGAAACTCATATGGAATTGGGTGAGTGTCCCTGCCCATGGTAGGGGGTTAGAATTAGATGATCTTAAGGTCCTTTCCAACCCTAACTATCCTATGATTCTATGATTCTAAATCAAAGTAAATAGAACAGTAGAAGCTTAGCTAATGTCCAGATATATAGCTCGACCAGATCAAAGAATAAAGTAAATAAGATGGCTTAATTCCAGTGACTTGCTGTCAAACACCTAAGTCTAAACATTTATCAACTTCAAAAAACAGTTCAAACACTTCAGCTCTAACCATGGTATGAGGGGTGGATGTCATCCTATTGAGGAGAAGAAACTGAATGCTTTTGCCTTATGTTTTCTTAGCAACTTTACTGACCCACAAGGGAACAGGAGGATTGACTATACAGGAGTCATTTGACTCTGAATCAACTTCTTTCCAAAATTATCATCCTAAAGAAAGCTTGAACAGTTTTTAAACTGAAATTACAGGACAGAAAAGTTAGGCATCTGTCTCCTTGCTGAGTACCTGTTCTCTGGGCGCAACACTAAATGTCTGCTCAGTTTGCCTCTGAGAGTGTCCTGTTCCATTAAAGGCATTTTTGTGAAGCTGAGTCTGAAGGAAGAGCACTTGAGCTGAAACTTAAAAGCTACAAATGGCTGTTTCAGATATTTCTAACTAGCTCTTAGTCTTACTCAGTCCTACTAGTAGATAGAACAGCATTTATGTTTGCAAGGTGGCTTTGTCATCACAAAAGACCATTAAGAGTTTCTTTTTCTTCAGCTTTGGGAATGGTGTATCAACAAATCGTTTTCCTTTCTGTCTTAGCTCTTTAAAGGCAGCAGAAGATGATCCTGTTTTCCTTACAACCAAATGTGTCACAGAAGAGGTAAAAAAATATAGCTAGTAAACAAGTCATAGACTGCATATTTCTACATGAATGTCTTCAAAGCTTTCAAGTCTGGTATACAATGATACAAAGATTGGAAACTATAGAATAAAAAGGATTTAGAAGATATAATTATTGGATTCCTTATCTTTGTAAGTAAAAAACAAGCCTCAAATTAGTAATTTAAATTGGTCTCCAATCTATATGTAGGAAATATTTTGTAGAATTAATGATGTAGAAAATTGTTCAGATCTGATAACTAATGATAAAAGGAAATTATTAGTCATAAATAGAATAGATAATAACTGAAATTTTGTTTCAGGCAAGAGAAATCACTGCAGCTGAAGCTCTGCAATTGAGAAACAGCATAAAGCAAAAATCTAAATTTTATTCATTCTCATTCAGTGCTTTAATCAAAAGTTTTACATTAAGATTTACATATTATGTAACTTCAATTGTCCAAAATTTGGGCATACTGAAGCTATTTATGCTATCTCACCAAATGAAATAATTTATCTCAGACTTAAAGAGCATTTTTAAGATGTATTTGCTATTTTGCCTTGGTTAAATGATCTGGTTTACAGTATTATTACCCCATAGAACAGTTGCACAGATGCATGTTGCTCTGCAGTTCACAATGAAGCAGGTATATAAACCAGTTTTCCACTGGACAAAAAGTTTATAAAATTACATCCCTAGGTTCTGAAAGCTATGAAGCACCCCTAACCTGTGTACCCACTAATCCCCATACTATCTACACACATTTCAGTTCTTCAGCAATCTACAGACATGATCCTTGTCAGTTCAGAACAATGTGTTTTATAAAGTACTTTTAACTGGGACACTTCTCCAATTTTTTTCTGTGTTCACTTACAATTTATAGATTTTCCCTTTTGTGGTCTTGTTGGGTGCAGTAAGATTCTCCAGACAAATGCAGTGGGGTAGCTGTTGAAATGCTATATTTTTGCACAAAGTATCTCCTAAAGACAACATCACTTTAAATAATTTTTTTAACCAAAATATAACTTCACAGTAACCTAACCTTGAATCTTAAATGAATATCATTACTTGAAAGGATCAAGGAGAGAAAACTAAAGGTTTTAAAGTTACATATAAAACTAGAAAGTGTGGATGGTTTAAGATAAAATAACAAGTCTTTAAGAGAAGATGGTACAAAAGTAATTTGTGCAGTTTATTCATATTCTGCTGGTCCCTTTACAGAAGACTGTAATGATAACAGTCCAATACTGGTTTTGCAAATAATTGACTTTTGGTTATTAAACTAAGATATGCCTGCTTAAAATGTATCAGAGATTTTTCAGAGGACCTTCATATTCATGTAAAAGTTTGGCCACATCTCATTTATAGTACAGGTCAATCAGCTTCTGGGTTGACCAAAAAAATCATAAACCACAAAACAGTTCTCAGGTACATGATTTTTTTTTTTAACATCATCATAGCAACTTTTTCTTTTCTCCTCATTTTTTTTTTTTCCGAAGAAACAGCTAGCTGCTGAAAATTCTTACAAAATAAAAGGACAGATAACTAAAATTTAGCAGATCTTCAGAAAAATTAAAATAGAGACTTAAAGTGGAAGATATTTGGCAACTTATTCTTTTAGTGTCCTTTCCAGTTTCACCTATGTAAAGGCAAAAATGGGGGCAGGTTAGCAAACTTTTTTCTTACCCTAATTTTATTTTCTGATGCTTTTATAAATTTTATTACCATCAAGCAGATAAACATTACAACTTATCAGGTTCCCAACTACTTTAAATCCACAGACTGGCATGTTTATTCTACTTAAATAAGTATGCGGTTTTGACAAGGATTTTAAAATGCGTGTCAATCAAACAAGAGGATGGTATTTTTCTCAGTTACTTCCACTGTTGACATATGGCATGGGAAAAACAAATGTAGTACTTGTCATAAGGCTGCACATACTGGTGTTATCTGCTAAGTAACAGAGCCATAAACATAACTTCCAAAGTACCATGAATTTTCTTTGTTTCTCTTTTTGGACTGGATGATCACACAGCTGTCGTGCTGTATATTTTACTCAGATTAATTTATACCCCAAATATGGCTAGTAATGTAGTAAAGAAAAAGTCCTAACTTCATTAAAAAGAAAGAAAAATTCCCTGTAAGTTAATTGGGATCAGTAGTCTATCTAAAAAATTTTTGATTGACTTTTTGTACATATCAGTTGTGTCTGGGAATTCAATCATATGCTGTACTTCTGCCTTAAAGAAGAATAATAAAAAAATCTCCTAAGAAGCTTATTATCTAAAGATGTTCATTAGAGAAGTCTTTTCATAACTAAGTCAGTTTTAACCAATAACAAATTTTCATCTAAGAAAACCTGTACTGTAAGAAACCTCCAGAATGAATTAGCTTGTCTGGGCCACTCTTTTGTCCTGGACAGTGACCAATGGCATATATTTAGAGTAAATGCAGAAAAATAAGCATGTACAGAGTGATTACCCAGCTCTTTGTAATCAGCAATTCAGGCAGTTTCAGTCAGAATTTAAATCCATCTATGCTCTACTAACTTCTACAGACCTATTTTGAATTCATGTTTTTTGTGTGTTCATTGCAACCTGTGCCAATACCCCATAAGTTTATTTGTTTCATAATTAACTCCTTTAGATTGCTATTTCTTGCAATAAATCTACCACAACACCTGATTAAATGAGCAGCTTGCTGTTTTGAATTAGTTTATCCTTTTCAAGTCATCATTTGCATAGATTTAATGATTTCATAGATGTCTGCCATAACCTTCTCCATTATATGTTTTAGGAATCTTAAACTATTTAATCTCTACATAGATGGAAGCCATTCCTTATCTTTGAATACTGCATACTCACCCTTCTCTACTCTGTCTTGTTGAAATGAGGGGGAAAAAAGTATTCCTGTACAACTATTCTTTCTATCAGGCAAATGGAAAGATAAGGTGGATACAAACTATAGAGGTAAAAGAAAAAATCACAGCAATACTGGACAGCACCTGTGGTTCTCCCCATGTTTTTACAATTTCCCTTCTGTCTCCTATAAAACTAATAACATTTATAATTTTTAGATACATTCCTGCTCTTGGAGTTAGAAGTTACTTACATGTGCTTTTGATATCTTGCTTACTCCTCAGAAGGACTAAATATCTTCTCTTTTCCTAAAAAAAAAAAAAAAGAAAGATTAATATAACAGTCCTAAGTAACTTATTTTTATAGTTGCAGAACAATTTTCAGGACTGGGAATACATAGAGGTAGTTAAACCTCTGTGGCTATTGTCAGATATATACTTTTTTTTTCATGCATAGAGATGTCCAAGGCCCTTAACTTATGAGTGAAACTTGATCTAATTATAATGCTGCTTTCATTTGTATTGGAAGCTCAAGAAGACAAGGGACCACCTAGTTCAAGAATACATGAAAAAAAAAATATTTTTTCCTGCATTTTTTTCATTTTGATGCCAAATGTGGATAAACCAGAACAGATACTTTATCTAATTAGATATATTTAAAGAAATGCTTTTCTTTATTAAAAGCTTTAGAGCTAAGCACATAATTAGTATATGCTGTAATTAAGCCTCCAGTGACTTATAGATCAGTTGGCCTATAGCTAAGAGTGTTAAAAGTAGACTTAAAAACTAAGATTAAAAAAATGTAGGGAAGCTGAAAAAATGAAGAACCTCTTTCTTGACTAATTTAATTGGATTTTAATCAAATTAGAGTTGTCTATAGTCAACAGAATCTGAGGGGTGAGATTCTCAGTTGACCAAATGAGCATGTAATAAATGGATGTCTTTTGACATCAGATAACATGTTGGGTCAGGTGCCTAGGACATTTGTAATGTAAGCCAAGTTCTGTTTTGTATTTCATGGGTTGTGAGCAGCTGCAAAATTATTTCCTGATTTAACATTACTGATTGTAGTAAAGGCACAAAAGGAAGGAACCTGCTACATGATCCTGAAGTATGTGAAATTTTATATTACATTAAAAAAAAAAAAAAAAGAAAGAATGTAAGATTTAATGTAATAAACATTTCATATTAAAAACAAAAATAGTCCTGGAAGCTGAAGGCAGATTCAAGGTCTTCCAAAGTAGTCTACACACTAGAATACAAAGTCACATTCATCCTCTAGTGCTTCCTCTCTGGTCCAGTATACCCTGCACTTTTATCTGCCTGAGAACATCTTCACAAGACACATGCAGATTGCCTTCCCACACTTCAGGAGACTATTGTCTGGTGACTAGGACATGAGCTTTGAAAGATGCAGATCATTGTTTGCAGTGAAAGGATAGGATTGAATCTGGGAGCCCAACCTACTCAGTGGGTGCACTAAGTAGTAAGTCAGTAAGCAATATGCAGCATAGGAAAAAAGGGAGAGGCTTCTCTTCTCTGTCTGTGGTCTAAATTTGACCTACTTTAGATTTGTAGTGTGTGAAGAGAGTGGTCCTGCCATGTCCTATGGCTGCTGGGAGTGTTTACTGGATTGAGTTTTTGGCATGATTCAGACTTCACTCCTCCTAGTTTCTCAATCTAAACTGAGCTCAGACATGATCTAAGTGCTGAGCTGCTTAAGCCTGCCAACTACAGGACAGTTCTGGGCACGTGCAGTGACTTAATAGGCACCTGGAGAGATTTAGCATCAAATGTTGAAGACTTTATAGAGATTAGGTGTCTCCAGCTCAGAAGGTGAGTCAGGATTTTGCAATTACAATTTCCCCTCAGCGGCTCAAACTTATTTTGTTTTAGTATCTAAATCTTGCAGTGGAACTTGCCTTGAATGCCCTCTACATCTAAAATAAAACAAACAAAATCTGTCACTTTAAAGTAGTAGGGTTCCTTGTTTACAGTAGTTAACTGCAAAAACATCTTTCTTTAGTGAACAAACCTTAGAAACACGTTAAATGCTCATCAGTAGATGAAAACCTCATAAACCAGGTCTCTGCACTTATGACCCCTCTGATCTAGGGAATAGTAATACTTAATCTTTTTAAGAGAAAATGTGCACAGAAATAAGAACATACGAAGCGCATGGCATTGAGAACAAATTTGTTTGGTAGTTTGAACAGCATTACTGACAATTAAACCCAAGGTTCCTCATCTAAATGCCATTCTTTTCTGAAATAATTATGACGTTATAATGTACATCTTGTCTGAAAATAGGTGAAATGAGTGCTGATCATCACCACTATGAATATGTAAAGGATTTAGTTGAAGGTATTTGAATTTTTAGGTCACCAAGACATAGCCAGAGACAAGTTTCTGACTTGTAGCAGGTTAGGCCACTCAATCCTTAAAACCTATTAAGAAAAATTTACTTTCTAAATCAACAAGTTAGCTGGAATAATTTGAATGTTAGCTCATATGATCCAGAGACACAGGTAAAATGACCTTTATTATTACCTCTGGTTAGGCACTAAAGTTGAAATAAGCAAACAAACAAAAAAAACTAAAATGTGTGTTCCTAAATTCTTTTGCTGTTTTTGAATGTCTTTTCCTTCTAAAAAAAAAAAAAACAAAAACCCAAACGTGCAGTTCTCAGTTGTGCTGAGTTCTTGCCACTGCCACTGGTTTCACTTCTATCCTGAAATCCACATATCTAAGTGGTTTATTCTGAGGTCATTCATATTTGGAAATGGTCAAGCTCTCTTTTGTGAAAAATTTACAAGTCAGACATCAAAATTAAACTGTTTAAATGAGTCGTCAAGTCTTTATTAGTCTATATTTAGGGATCCTACTCTACTATCCTAGATATTATTGCACAAGAAGAGGATTTTCCTCAAGTACTGAAGTTACCAGACAAAGCAGAGTCCCAGACAAAATCAGTGTTTATATGCTTTTGAGTATCTGGATTCTTGTCACTAAAACAAAGCTCAAATAGATGGCATATTGTTCCCATCGCACAGTTTCCTAAAGTGTCCTGGATCAAAAACATGTTGATTCAACTAATTACATCATATAGGGAGTGCACTTTGGATAGCATTCTTTGTTTATGCTACACTTACCTGAGTCCAATAATACCTGTGATTCTTATAATTGATGGTATAAAATTTTAAAACTTGCTAACTCTTCTTTGACTCTTTTGTCACATTGTTAGTTACCTTGGGATTATTTGGCTATATTTTTTTCCATTCTTATTCAAGTTGAAGTCCACTGGGAAGGGAAAATGAAGAGCTGAGAAATCAAAAGGATTTGAATGTAGATAAAATAGCGTTTTCTTTTTAAGGTATGTTTCTTTTTGTCTTCTTTTTTTTAAGATCTTTACCACAGACTGATGTTCTCAAGCCACAGGCTATTGAACTTTCTAGTACAAAGATCCACCTGGTGCTGAATAATCACACACAACTTTTGTGTTTGATCTGTTCAACATGAAGCTTTTAAGTCGGGCTTCTGAAACCATTGCCCATCATGCTGACCAACACTGTGTCAGTTCCTTGTACTTCCCTGCCTGTATGCATTCATCTGGTGCCTCTTACCTTACCTTACATTCAATTACAAACTTTTTCTGAGGCAGTAGCTGTGTTTTATGGTTGTACTATATATATATATATCTGAAGCCATCTCCTAAGTATTATCACAGTGCAAATATCAATCAATAGCTATTTAAAGTAATTTATATTAATATAATTTACTGCTTTCTTTTTTTCAAGAGTAAAAAAATGTATATCATGCTTCTAGCAGGGCACTTCAAGACCATAGATCTGCATTTAAGGGTAATTTTAATTATGCATATTTTGAATATAATAAAATAAGCTCTTTAAATATTCAGCTCAGTGAGAGTTGGAATCAAATGAGTCTATTTTGTATGTGAAACTCTCAAAGATCAGTGAGTTGAGAAATTCAAACACAGAAATTCTTTCATTACTAAGTGATTCTGAAAAATGACTACAATTCAGGAAATAGTAATATCTGTTTCTTATCTAGTAAGGTTCCATAGGACTACCTTTCCTCAACACATGCCTCATGCCCTTCATTCTGACTCTTCCAGCAACCAGATAGTCACTTACCCAAGTGCTATCTATATTTTGAAGAAATGCTTCTCCTTGTTTCTGGAAAAAAACAGATATATGGTTAGGTTCTAAAAGCACTGCAAATGTATATAATTACTAGTTGTGGTGGATCAGACTAGAACATATAAAGAGCTACATTCTTTATAAAATGAGCTTAATCTGCTAGATAAAACAAAATTATTTGCTGATGTGTGAAAAAAGACTAAGAAGAATCCCTTCTTTTCAAGTCATCTGCCACTCCACCAAATACATCTGGAATTCAGTATCCCAAAGTTTAATTAAACCTGCAGAAAAATTAACCATTTACATACAATCTGCAGAAATTCTAATTCTGGTCTTCTATGAACATGACTATAGAGCTGCATTAAATGGAATTATGGTCAGAAGAATTTCTCCTAAGCCACTTATTTTCAGTTAGAATAATTAGCAGCATTAGTTTTATTAATACACATACTCAAGATTCTGCTGGTATATATAAAGAGATATATAAAGCAGATATGTCAATTTACTATAATTTTCTCTTTGACTTATTGCATATTCACTCTTTAAAATGTTGTGGGTTTACAACCTTCATGAAGACTCAAACCTGCAACCTGAACATGGGATGTAGACTCAAACTGAGGGTAAGACAAAGTTGGTTTGGGTTGATGGAAAATATTACAACATTCAAGAGAAGTTTTCTACAAAAGTTTTCACATATTCTACCTCTTATGCACTCTCTCATATTCTTTTAATGCATAAAGGAATAAAGGAAATTATTCACTCAGTTTAACATACTTAGCATTAGTAGTTAGATGTGCCTGAAACCTCAGACCACATGCTGTGAACATTCACATAGATACATTAATCTTTTTACCTACTTAAATAAAAAAAAAAGTCCCAGAGCCAGTTTGTGTCTTAAGATAAGAAAGCAAGGAAGGCCACTATCTCCTCAGAAGAAGCTGCAACCTTAGAAATAAGAGGAGAAACAGCCCACCAAGAGACAGTGAAGAGACCCAGTAGAGAGCAAGAAGACCCCAGACACTGTTATTATTGGACTGAACTGCTGTGTGAAGGGCAGGAAACTAATATTATTAGGGTATCATTGTTCAGTGGGGTTTTTTTGTTCAGGATTCTTCTCCAGAGGCACCTAATTCCTACAGCTGTATTGCTCAAATAAATTACATCATCAGATTTAAAGCCTGGGTCTCTGCTATGGAATACCTGGGTTAGAGAAGCATTGTTAACAAATGTTCTCTAAAAGAATGGCACTCAAGCATCAGAGTGAGGGTGACTCTTCTATGTTCACAGATGTTCATATGCCTATACTTCTCCTATTAATTATGCCTGAAAACTAACAGTTCCAATCAGAAGCATTTATCTGTGTGCAGAGAAGGCTCCAGAGGATGGCAATTGACAATGCATGTTATTAATATATGTTTGTTATTCAAATGCAAAATAACAAAAAATTAAATTAAGTAGCATGGCATTTCATCACACAATTGTACTAAGGAGACGACTGTACATGTTCTCTCTTCCACCAAACATCCCCTGGACTCTAAGAACAGTTAAATAGTTGTAGAAGAATATCCCAGTAGAGTCATTAGTTACCCTATTCCTTTTCTTTGCAACTACATGGTCTCATCAAAAGGAAAGAGGATTAGCTACGCTTTCTATATCGTGGCTGTGTTAATAGTTGAAGTTTGTTACTGGCAGTCAGAAAAAAATTGAACTAAACTGTACATTGGGTGGTGAAAGAGTAAGACAAAAAGAAGAGAAGTTGATTGAAAGAAAACTTCACTTTATTTTTATTAGTTTTTATTATATTTGTTATACTTTTATTTAGACATTTTTCTCCTCAGAGCTTCAGTCATTTAATCCTCTGTTTTTTTCTTACTTTTTCTAATACAATTTAATTAGATATTATTTTAGCCACAGGCTTTCATTTCTGTCCTATAGTTCTTAAGCTATGGCATTAGTTATTTATTTGAAATTGTCAGTCATTTTGAGTCAGATGGTTTATAACTCCACAATGCAAAGTGGCTGTTGGATTTTGTACTATATACATGTATCAATTATTTTGGTAAAGTGGATACTGTTTATACTGTTAGAAGCAAAGGAAACACATATTTAATATGACATTCTCATTCTCAATCTTCAACCATTTAAAAGGGAGATATTCTTTTACCTTCTAGGCTTTCTCTACAGATACTATTTTACCTTCTAGGCTTTCCCTACAGTCTCTAGAGTGATACCTCTGGAATATTATTACCTCCACTGTAAAGTTCACATCTAATGTAGGTGGGCATAATGAATCATGCTTATTCCTGTCCATTGAGAAAACCTGGGTGATTAGGTAGGTTGGTTGGTGTTTACATTTTAGATGACTAAAATAAGGAGTGATGGTTTTCACCGTTTTGATGTGAACCCAGCAAGAATATAAAGGCAATCCTTAATATTACTATCTCTTGTTTTTAAGTAGGTACATAAATGTAATTATGATTTTGCTTTACTAAGATTGACTTAAAATACTCAATTTGTTTTCCCTTTTGTTCTATCAGTCCCAATTTGTGTCAAATGACAAGATATGTGAAACATAGCTCGCCTTTGTTCTTTCACTGCTGTGACGTCACTTAAAATAGTGCTTACAAAAAATATTGTTTTGCTTTTCATTGTTTTCTAAGCAGTAAAGTCTGTGGAATATAAAACTCATAAAAGGTTGTTTCATTCTTGCACTTGATGAGGTGAGGACATTTAGCTCTTTCACTGATACTATGATGCTCTCCTTATTCATAACAGTCTTATCTGAGTTTATCAAATAGTTCAGTTGTTTACATTTTAGAGTCTTCAGTTTGTGGCAAATGAGCATAAAGTTGTTGAATTAATGACACCAAATTTTAAACTAATCTGTGTGATTAAACTGTATATCTTGAAGCCATATAACTTAAGGGAGACAAAAACAAAGGCCTTTGAAGAGTTTGGTTCAGTCGTTAGCAATTCATCTGGGGAAGAAGAACCTGCATTGCCTGTTGCTGCTCAGAAATGGCATGTCTTGGTTGGTGGTAGTAGTATAGAGAATTCTCTTGCATTACTTCCAGCCCGTGAATAAAGAACTCTTCAAACCAGCTAAATGTTTTTTTTTATTGTTTATGGCTTACTCATTATTTTATATAGCACTGGTGTGCATAAAGGATAACCAGTTAATATATTTGATGACTAAATAGTACATTGCAGCCCTTACAGTTCATATCATTGTAAACCCATCACTTCAGTAATATGAAGCAGAAAAATGGCATTTTAAAAGTAAGATGAGATAATAAACAGCACCCACCCTCCTTGTTTATACTGCAGCAGTTGGAGCTTATTATTGTTCTGTGTAAAATGCTAAGAAAACAACCATTTCCAGGCTGGATAAAAGCAATGTAAATATCAGCTAGTGTATTAAGTGCTATTAACCCAGCTGTAAAGAGCTTATTTGCACAAAATGTTCAGGAAGAAACTCTTATTACTTGGCGATATTACTGGACCATAATCTTTAAACAAACTCTGAAACCACTAGCTAAAACCATAGACGTGTTGAAGTGGAAGCAAGTATCTATGTACAAGAGCACTTAAAAGCCTAGTAGAACAGCCTGAACAGAAACAGGCACCGTTCTATTGCTCAGTTATAACAAAAATTAGAAACTTATGCTGTGCAAAGTAGGTTTCTTTTGATGAAAGCTACACTATGGAGTTTCTTAGAGACATGAAAATTTAGAGGCTTCTGAATACAAATCTGTTTCACAGCAAGGCACTTCCTAAACTGAAGCATAGCTGGAAATTGAAGGAGTGAAATCAAATTCATCAGATAGCTATCGCTACCACTCTGAATTATTGATTGTCAAACTTATCTGTCTACTGTAATCAATAACAACTGGTTCACAAATAAAATTTCTCACTGTCTGTATTTATACAGATGGAACTGGCCACAACTGAGTAACTCCGTCTTGTGTAATTCCACTGTTGCTGCGTAAGAAGTTCAGAGAGAACCAACACAGAATATAGATAGAGAGCAACTGAGTTTTTTTCAAATAACAGTCAACTGTGAAGCAATTATCTTTTTTTGTTTGCTTGTTTCCCGTGGGAATGATCAGCTCTGTTATTAGTGGCCTTAAATGAAGAAACAAAAAAGGACGTATTGACTAAATAAGATTCAGATTCTAGAACTTCTGGGGAAAAAGCCCAAACCAAAAAACCCAACAAAAAAACATTTGAAGACATCACTGTGCTGAATAATGGAAAAATATATGTAACACTAATTATACCAACATGCATATTAGCCATAACCAGTAGGCAAATGACTCAACAACAGGGTAAACATGCAAGACACTGACAACAAATCTTTCCTCACAGGTAGCAGATATAAATGTTCACTTGGTATAGGTAACTCATAATTTTCCATTTGGATTATTTTGATCCTTTTTTTTTTAAGATTAAAAAAGTTAAGAAAAACTGAGCTTAGCACAAATTATTCAATCTTGAACCTGTTCATTTACAGTTAATAAGTAAGATGCTTGAACAAACTAATCCTGAGTCAACCCTAAATCAAATATAAAAGAATGACTGAAGTAGTAAATGTGACTGAATGATGAAATTTTATCTTTTTTTTAAATATATTAAAATAGCATATTAAGACAAAAGTCTTAATAGAGTGACATTAAACTCTAGGTAGATATTGGGAACTGTAAATAGAATAAAAACAGACTAAGAAAAAGACATTTAAAATCAATTTATATTCAAACTGTAATCCATTTAAATTGAATATTGAGATGAAACCTAGAGTCAAATCTTCCATGTTGCTGAATACAACAAAAAATTAAACCAAAAGCCAAGAAAAAAATGAATGGCTGAATGATGATGAGAAAGCTGAGGTTTATATCTTGTTTCTGGAAAATAAAAAGGCAGCCAAAGGAAATACAAAGTACTTCAAACTGAAATCTGACACACCATACACCTTCTCAAAAAAAAAAAAAAATCAAAGTCAAAACAACCACAACCCCCTCCTGAACTTGTAGACTGGA